GGTTTGTTCACACATATTTCATTATTAGTTTTAAATGTTCATATCGCTTAATGACTTTTGACTTTGACCTCATCTACTGTCTCCTGAATATGCATCAAACTTTGTATAAAGGTGCATCATGGAAAGGTGGTGTGTCACATTCTAAAAAGAGGTCACTGTGACCTCAATTTGACCTTTCACCTTGACCTCAAGTACTGAAATATTGGTTTCTAGAGCAAATCTCGGCGCTGTTTTACAAATGGGCATCACACTGTATATAGCTACATTATAGATGGTGGCTCGGAATCTTGAAACGAGATCACTCTGACTTGAGTTTGACCTTCACCTTGACCTCAAGGACCGAAATGATAATGGTTTCTAGAGTATATCTCAGCTACTATTCAGTAATGGGCTTCAAACTTTGTAGACATGTTGGGAGCAGGGGTGTATCTGTGAAGTCTATGCATCAGGTAAAATTTAGTTTTTAGTACATACTGGTTATGTACTGTGTTCATAGAATTTTAAAAATCTTGCCAAAAGTTTGACCTGAATTTTATTAATTTGTGATGCAGGCAGCCAACTACCTAGATATCAAGGGTTTATTGGATGTAACATGCAAGACTGTGGCCAACATGATCAAAGGCAAATCACCTGAGGAAATCAGAAAAACTTTTAATATCAAGAACGATTTTACACCAGCAGAGGAAGAACAGGTGAGATTCCTTTCATGTACAAGTTCATAGATTTGAAATTCGGAGACCAATCTATGTTTTGGGTTAGATTTAATGCTATAAGTAATGTTGGGAATTACTTCAAAATCCATGATTGATCATCACCATTCTTAAGTGATCGATATCAAAATCAGCCAACCATTGATTAGTCATAACTGAAAAATAAATAGGGAAACATTTACCAAAATGGATGAAATGCAGTGATGATTTTATTGATACCCTAGCTATAAGCATTTGTTATATGCAGTTCATGGTGTAAAATATAAGCAACATTGTTTACCTTTATCTATTTCCAAGTCTGCTCAATATTTCAGTAACTTTTGAAAGTTTTTACATCGTTAAACCATAATTGATCATAGAAAATTAAGACCGATTAGTCATAGTCTGAAGCAATACACCTAGTCATTGATTAATTTGGTCAATCAGACTACTGCTTTAATTGAGTGTGATAACAGGTTTTAAAAAGAACATCACTTACAGAATGAATTTAATTCATTATTAATGCTATTGCATATTGCAGCTGTTCCACTTTTACTTTAATTGTTTAAACTATTTTTTTGTCATTACAGGTACGAAAGGAAAATGAATGGTGTGAGGAAAAATAAAAGGTGTGGAAAGTGAGATTCTGTCCCGTCTCCTTGTGTATTAAAAAGCGACTAAGATATTATATAGACTGTAGGCTTTCACCTCTTGAACATTAATGATATATCTTATTCACAGAATTATCATCCAAAGCCTATCTCAGGTTGCCTTCCCCGGTCTACCTGAGAGGAGGAACAAAGCTGAAGTTGAGTAGGTGATAAGATATTGTGGTTACCCAAAATGATGTTTATTCCTCGTTTGTGTGGCTACAATTACCTTAACTAGGAGGACGGTTCCTCAAGAATGACTACTAAACATTAAATGGAAAGCTTATTACAAAACAGGCCAGAATCTGTACGTTGCAATTGTTAAGGCTACACATGTGTTTCTGAACTCGTCAAATCCCATCTTATTTAATGCGCAAAAGTGATGTTATCCGACTCAAAAAGGCAAATATGTGAAGTAAATTAAATATTTGATGGAAGCTTATTGCATTTTGAAACGTTTCGTTAAGCAAACTTTAGGCAGTCAGTGTGGAGTGTGTCTGTTTACAAGGACGCCTAATTGAAATGATTAAAATTGAGTATAAAATCCCTTTCGATACTGTGATTCTGTATAAAGTTTTAATTTATTTGAATTGTAACATGGTTTTTTTTTTGTACTTGAAATATGGTTGTTTGTTTTCTTATTTTAATTTTAGCTTGTAGAAATAAATAACTAAAGTTTGAAACTTTCATTATATTAGCAGCAGACATTTAGCAAAAATATGTGCAAGTAGATAGTTTGAATAATTATTTAACTCAATTCAGACAATTGTATTACATACAGTACTAGATTTGTTGTGTACTTGGCTTATTTCTTTTCCAATCTACTTTACAAGGACACAGAAGATTGATAGTGCTAAAGATCACGAAATCACAATTTGCAATCTATACACCTTTCTTCAAGTAGAAAGAACGGTTAAATTGGCGTTAAAAATCCAGATTGAAAACTCTGTGATCAGTAACATTCAAAACTGCTTATGTTTTTTTGTTTCCCCATCATTCTCTCTCCTCCTCTTTTGTTGACGGACACTCTTTGAGACCTATTTAAGATATAATCTTGGGACATATATTACAGTAAGTACAATCAAAAAATTACTTACCAGCATTTACAATGTTGTGATATGGCACAGAGCTGTTGATGAAACTGTGAAAATAATATGTAAAGGTGCCATATGTATTCACTATACACAAAGTATCTTTTACAGTTTGATTTTAGAGACATTTTAAGGTATGGCATGTTCACAGCAAATTATACTTGTGGAAAAATAATTGCTTATGAGTGACACGGCTTGATTTTAAACAGTTTACTAAATATGAAGTTAACCTATTCACCAATCTTCCTGGTTGATTGTTGTTGTGCTAGAAAGATTTTCTCGTTTGATGTATAATGTATGAAAACATTCTGCCCAGTTATTCTCTTATATAATTGTGTTTAGTGTTTGTATAAATATTCATGCATCCATATTAAAAATCCATGTCAACATTTTCTTTTTTTTGTTCTGGTAATTTCATTGAAGAAGTCATAGATTCAGTCAGCACAAAATACCTTTGAATTTGTGGTAAAGTGCAGTATCTGTCGTCCATCTGTCGATCTTTTTCGTATTGTGGGCTTTACAAATCGTTAATGGTCAGTCCTTAGACATTTCTTGTTGTCTCCATTACTCAAGAAGCATTGAAGTAATCATCGTTGAACTCAAATTTCTTACGAAGGTTTCCCATGGTCCCGAGTTTTACATGTTTCATAATGGGATTGATCGCGAAAACATAATGGCTGCCAGGTGACCATCTTGGATTTTGAGAGCTCAAATTTGTTATCACTATTTCTCAAGAAATGCTTTACAAATTTTATATGTAGTTTCCTTTCATATATAGTTGTGCATCTTATATTTTTAGCTCACCTGGCACGAAGTGCCAAGTGAGCTTATG